AAAACAATGGAAAGCCCACGCACAGGCGGGAAAGGCGAACACACCACACAAAGAGAGAAGAGAAAGAGAAAGAGAGTGCGTCAGACAACCCACATTCAGGTGGTTGCCTCCCTTAACATGCTCCCTCCAACAGGGAGGGGAACCCCGAATCCCAGGGTACATGCCCTTGACCGGAAATTGAACCCGCTACCTCCGGTTGGCGGCTGATGCTCTAACCATGATCCATGCCAGCCAGGACTCACTATTTTTTCTCTCCCTCTGCAGATGCTCGCTGCTCTATTATCAAGTGGCCTGGCTTTGCTGGGAGCCTTGATTTGCTTTATTACTTCTGGAGTAGCCCTGAAAGATGGTCCATTTTGCATGTTCGATGTCTCATCCTTCAACCAGACGCAAGCTTGGAAATATGGTTACCCATTCAAAGACCTACACAACAGGTAAATGGACGGAGACTTGAATGGATTTTCAGCCTTTTCAGAGAAAGAGAGAGAGAGAGAGAGATTGGGGCGGGGAGGGGGGAAGGAGAGTGGGAGAGAAAGAGAGAGAGAAAAAGAGAGAGACTACAAACTCCTTTTGGTGATGCATTCTAGCATCTCACTCCTCTGATGCTCAAACATTGCAAATGTAGCAACAATAGTCGCCCTCAAGAATGAGTCTAGGCTTGTGACCTGAGCTGGGGGAGGCCCCGGCTGTCTGTTGAGGTGGCTTATTTGGCATTTCTTACTTGTTCCTTGTCTCTTTATTTGTGGGAACAGGAATTATTTATATGACCGTTCCCTCTGGAACTCAGTCTGCCTGGAGCCTTTGAAAGCTGTCATTTGGCACGTGTCCTTCTTCTCCGCTCTCCTGTGCATCAGCCTCCTCCAGGTTCTCCTGGTGGTCACTCACTTCTTCAACGCCTTCCTGGGCCTTTTCTGCAGCCTCTGTGAGAAGCCATAGGCAATGCCACTTCACGGACACGGCTTTCATCAGAAACTGCCTTGAATCCTTTCTGCAACTAGGGTTTATGGGTATCAATC